GCAGGAAGTCATCAAGTTTATATGAAAACAAATCTGAGACATCAAACGTGGAAGCATCTAACAATAAAAACAGGAATTCCAGTCCCAGTGCCAGACAAAAGAGAGGTAGGAGTTCTGAGACAGAGCTTTTTGCTTCCGAAGAGTAATAGTTTTATTTTTACACGCTTATTTCTGGAGTTTGGTGAGGATGCTTTAAATGTATGTTGTTTAAACCCAACATCAAAAAGACAATGCCACAAAGCTGAGTGACTGTACTGCGAAATTTCCTGAACACCAAATTGTTACCAGTTTAGGATTTTTTTAAGTCTGAGTTTTGATGCATTAGAGTGCTCTTTATACAATTTGTATTTTTTAAAAATAGAATTTGGGGGGCAATAGTATGCATATTTTAATCTTCTATATCCTGGCTAAGCTGGTTTCTAGCCATATTTAATTTTAAGATTGTCTATGGAATTTGCTAAATAATTTCCTTGCTTTATGTCAGAGGTTTTTTTGCCTCCTTTCTGTATAGGTTCCTCTCCAGTATTAGTAAACGCACGCCCATGAAGTCACAGAAAATCCCTCTGTTACTTGAGGGCATAAATAAAATAGATCTATTCAATACAATTTAGGTTAAAATGAACACTAAAAAGAAACTAGATCTCATCTGGCAGTAGCAGGAACAGAAAATCTCTCAACAGTAGTTTCTCTTTGAGGTTAGAGCAAAGAGCTTTTCTAATAATACAAAAAAGAAAATTATGAAGTCTTAAAAGAAGAGATGAATGTCCAGATCAGGCTTAAAGTAACAGCAGGCCCCTTTATAAACAGAGATGGTTAAAAAAAAAAAAAGTGGAATATTTTTTTCTTTGAAAAATATACTATTTACCAAAAGACTTTTCATTGCAATAAGTTTTCATTCTGGGGAGAGAGTTCTGGCTTCTTCATTAAAATAGCCAATGTCAAAAACCTGTTTCAGTAAATTTGTTTTAAAATATGAACTTTTTTTTTTTTAATTGAAAAAGGTTGAAAAGCAGTCTTTCATTTGAAATTCATAAAGCCCTTTTAAAAAAAATCTAGGAAAATGATTGCTGTTTTTTAACTGATCCAGCTTACACGACAGTGTGGGAACTGGGATCAGCCTATAAGCTGACTTTCATTCTCCTGCCTTTTGCTTTCCCGTGACCAGTTGCTCGGGGCTCTCGCAGTAATTCCTGCCAGCTCGGTGAGAGCCTCCTCATCCTCTGGCATGTGGCTGCTGCGGCAGCGCTGAGCAGTGGGTCACTTCTCTGCGGGATTCGGGGTGTGCGTGAGCATCCTGGGCTGCGACGCCCGCTGTGCGGAGCCAGCCAAGGGCTGTCCGGCTGCACATGTCCCACTGAAACTTTATTTTGTGTCTCTGTGAGGCATCTCTAGCTGGGACTCTGCGGGGGCTGAACCCACCTTAAAAATGTGCAGTTAGGTCCTGCTTGCGAAGGTGCAGACGAATCCTGCGGCCGTCGGGGAGGGCACAGCTGTGCGCAGCTGCAGCACACGTGCAGCATAGGGGGATGTCTGGTGCTCTGCCAAAACCGTCTCTTTTGTGCCACCTACTGACTGTAATATTCCCTGTATCTATGTAGCTAATCGGAGCACAGATTGTTTTAAAATATTGTTTTCTTTCTACAGTACGGGGGGCGGCCACTATTGGCAAGCTATTTTAGTTTCGGTATTCTTAGGGATAAGTGCCTATGATTGAGTTATCTACATATAAAACAGTATTTTGTGTGGATCAGATTGGTAGGTTCACTGACTTGAAGCTATACGGGAGCCCAGTCCTGCAGGAACCTCTGGAAACCACCTAGTCTAACTGCCCTGCTCAGAGCAGAGTCAGCTGGAGCAAGTTGCTCAGGGCCATGTTCAGTTGGGTTCTGAATATCTCCAAGAATGGAGGCTCCACAACCTCCTTGGGGACACCGTCCCAGGCTTTAACTACATTCACAAAAAGGTTTTCTTCATATTTTTAGATGGATGAAATTTCCCATATTTCAATCTGTGCCCATTGACTTCTGTCCTGTCACTGTGCTCCACTGAGAAGTGTCTGGCTCCACCTTCTTTACTCACTCCCATCAGAGATTTATATATGTTGATAAGATCCTTCTGAGCCTTTTCTTCTCCAGGCTGCACAATCACAGCTCTCTCACTCTCTCCTCATCTCAGCTACCGCAATCCCTTAATCATCTTCGTGGCCCTTCATGGGATTCACTCAAGTATGTCTATGTCTCTCTTGTACTGCGGAGCCCAGGACAGGTCACAGCACTCCAGGTGCTTCTCACTTGTGCTGAGTAGAGAGGAAGCATCACGGCCCCAGACCTGCTGGCAAGGCTCTGCCTAATGCAGCCCAGGATGCTGTTGGCTTTCCTTGCCACAAGTGTGCGTTGTGGGCTCGCATTCAACCTGTTGCCCATCAGGACCTACTCCTTATTGTGTTTGAAAATGTTTTCCAGGATTATTTTGTATACCTGCAGAATGAAGGAAAATGATTGAAATAACTCAGGTGGAGACAACATGTCATTAGAGAGCATTCTCTAATGATTGGCTGGTGCTGGGAAGCTGAGGGGACTTATGAAATCCTAAGGGGTCCCTCAGTGAAGTGATATAATTGCTTAGCTGAAGAACTAGCATATAAACCTTCCCCTTATACACATGCACTATCCTACCTGCTGCATGACTCTGTGATAATGAAATACTACAGATTTTCTTACCCTGTGCAAACGGAAAGTAAATAAGCTTTATATACCAGTTTCTGGATTCCTTATAAGCTACAGCATCTTTACAAAGATTGCCTCGCGGTGGGAGCAGCTATGGGAAGGAATGGCTCTTAGGCCAACACAGGCAGTCTGACAGCCAAAAATGCTTCCCAGTGCACCTGTGAACAGCCCCACAGCTGAAACTGCCACTCCATAGCAGTTCCTCACCAGATGCACCTGCCTGGCCCAAAGTTGGTGTCAGACTATAGGGTGGAAGGAGCTGAACCACACCAGCATAATACTTCTATATTGATAAAATCTGTTCATCTCACATCCCCCTAAGCATGCAGGCGCCTTGGATCCTGGATTATCCTGGCTGCAAATCAGGAAGCAATGAGATGCACTTTCCTTGGAAGCACAGCTTGTCTGTCTGTTGCTTGTTGGTCGAATCTGGATTCACTGTCTCTTCATGTTCCCATTGTACTTCTGGTCTTTGTTTGTACCTCTAATGATTTTCACTTGGCAGTGTATGAAGTAAAGAGGAGGAAAAAGCTAGTGGTTAAATCCTAAGGCACAGAACCAGGCAGCCAACACATGGCTTTTCTCCTGTTCCTTTGCCATAAACCTTCTGCGTGCTACCTGCCCACACAAAGAAAGGAGCAGATGCAGAATTTGGCAGGAATGCATGGATCTGGAGGTTTGATCTAGATCCACCTCTTTCCTGCAATGTGAGTAACTCAGTATCTTTCAAACTCAAAGTCTCAGGACCTAGATCCATCTGTGACTTATCTCTAGACAGGCGACTGTCAGAGGCATGGCTGGCTTATTTATGTAGGAGCCTGGCATGTAAGCTTTGCTAGCATGGCACTCCTTACATCCCAGCAAATCATGAGATCAAATGCATGACTATATGCCAGCTTTGGAGGCTGTTAGAAAGACTGCAGCAGGTAAGGCTGAGAGTGTATTAGCCACGGGGCTGATCACGGCAGACTCTTCAGTGCTTGTGCTGCATCGCAGAAGTGGGACTGCTTGCAACACTTGCTGTCTGTATGTATCCTGCACTGCAAGACTACTTCTCTCATGTCTCCCTACAACCTTGCTGTTCCAACCACAAGGATGTGTTTTCATAGTAAAAGGCACTAGATCCTCTTTAATGAGCTTGCTGCTAAACTGTATTTTCCTTTGATGAGAGCTACATCCCTTCGCCTGTTTTTCTTTGGTTTCGTTTTGTTGTTGTTCTCCTCCATTAAATCTCAGTGAGCCAAACTCAACCCAGGGGCTCTGTTTGGCTCAGCTGGTTTAAAAACCCTGACCTCATGTCACCTTTCTAATTGATTAGCTCTTGCTCAGGCTTGAACTGAATCAAAATTTATTTATTTATTTTAAGTTGTCATCCAGTGCTAACCTTTCCTTTCCCATAATCTGAACAGCTGACCCTTCCTTCCTTATTTCTCTTCCCTCTCCCTCTCTCTCCTAGTTGATGCTTCCACCAGCCTTAACCTTGAGCGCACAGCGCTTGCTAGAAAGCGATTCACATTGCAAGGTCTTTCCAACCGCAGAGCTCCACCCAAAGGTAAAATCACCCCATGCAGCATTTGGTCTCTGGCCATCTGTCTCCTGCACTCCCACAATGTCCTCTCCATCCCATAGTGCCATGCATCACTATTTCCTAAAATGCTGCTGCATCTCACCAGAATGCTCCTGTCTGACACACACATGTGGCTCTTCTCAAAGATGCCATTACCAGAAATTCCTTCCCCGGCAGTGTTGGCAAGGCAACCTTTGAGCTGACTGGTTGGATCTTTTACTGGTGCACAGTGCAAATAACATTTGTTTCCAGTTTCTCTCAAGGGCCAAAGTGTGGACATGTTTTAAATAACCAACCTAACTTCTTTCAGCAATTTACTGGCTTGAAGGGAAGACTATCATTGTGTTGTGCTACACGAGGTCACGTGTTAAATTGTTCATTGGTTGGACCTCTTTGTTTTTTCAAATGTTGCTCAGCTGTGGCCTAGTGGATACTCTGAGGATCCAGAATTCAGAGAATCTGGGGGTTATTGCCATTTCTACTTGATTATGTTATATGACACTGTAAAATGGTGTGTTCTGAGTCTTGGTGCATAAATGTTTAGAAGACACTTAATATCCATGAGTAGAGAGCATCGCATGTTCCTGTGACAGTTGTACAAGGAAGAGACTTTAGAGGAAAGACAGAAATGTGAATAGAAATGAAATTGAATGACTATTTGCAATTACTTTCTGAAAATAATGTATGACTTTTTTTATTGTTATTGTATGACTTTCCTCCTGTTCTGTTGAATTATATTTCTTCTGTGAGATGAAGGGTTAGTGAGCAGTGATGGAGGGGGTAAGCATCAAAGGAGGTAGAAGCAAGATGAAAGAATAAAAATGACAATGTTATAAAGTAGATGAGAATACACCAAGAGCCACAGCAGCAGTAAGATTCTGGCTGGAAGGTTAAGGCTGCATTTGGTAGTAAGGTCCAAGACGGACAAACCAGTTCAATGTTCTGAATACAGAAAAGGGAGTGATTTTCAGATCCTGTGACTTGAGGAAATCAATTGCAAGATACAGATTTCAGAAATGCGGCAATTCAGGCTAGTTTGGATCTGCAGTTTGGTTTGAGCCTCTTTTGCTTTTATCTGATGTTTTCTCATCATGTGAAATGTTTTGCATTTTACTCAGTCATTCTGTTCCACACAGCAAAGCACAGTTCAGAAGGGTTCATACCCGCTAAGCTGTGGGTGCTCTCAGTTCCAAGACTTGCTGGGTCTGGTTACTTGAGATTGCCGTGAAGCACCTCCATTACACAACCTCCCATTTCATTTTCTTTTGCTGCTCAGTTGCTAATCTGGTACTGGCCTAGAGGAAACCGGTTGGCAAATAGCCTGTATGTTTTGCAGAGTGTGGTCATTTCTGCAGGCAGTGACAAAGCAAGGCCATGTTAGCGCTGTACAGACTGGCTGGTAAGGCAGATGTGAAGCTAGGAGAAGGTAACAGGGAAGTTACTGCAGTAAGAGCTTGTCGTACTCTTGATCCTGTTGTTTAAGGATTCATTACTGACTGTGGCAGGAGATGGCATTCTGAGCTGAGCATACTTTGGTTCAGACCCACTGTATCTGTTCATGTTCTGAACACACAAAAGGGAAGGTTTAAACAATAAAATAACAAGACTAACTAGGGGGAAAACAAGATTGCCTGATAGATATGAACTGGCAGTGAAGTATGGATGTTCAAAGCATTGCTGAACCATCTGCCCAGGCTGGATATGATGGGGTAGAAAACGTATATAAGCACTTTGGCGTTTAGACCAAAGAAATGCTGATGTCTGGAGGAGAAACGTTACCATCCTGCACTCCATCAGTGCAGAGACCCCCAGAGCAGCTGTACCAGAACTGGCAGCAAAGTGTGTGAACGCCCATACTCATAGCACTTTGTATCTCCCCACCCTTGGGTCAGCATTAGCTGTCCAGGCTTGCAGAGCGAAGCTTTTATTTCTTGGAGTTGGTACAGAGTCTCTAAGAGCTGCATGATGTGGTGTAAATATATCCCAACACCAGAATTAAAAAATGACGTTTTCTTTGTATTTTAACAAGGGCAGTTACAGCAGCCTAAATGTGGAGTCATTCCATTATAATTGTTGCTGAGAGCACACTTCAACCTCTCATTTTTCCTCAGCCTTTTAGTAGGTGTGAATAAGGATGTACTTGAATATATGTGCTTTTATGAGTAAATTGATAAAGGAGTACATTGGCAGGTACAGAATTTATAGTCTTCTTGCAGTAGCCAATCTACAGCTGAAATTCCACTGAGATTTTAAGGAGCTAATATGGTTTCCTGATGTTTTGACATAATAAAACATTATAGGAATTGCAGTTCAACCAGTCACGCTAATTTCTGCTCAACTGGAAGCATACAGCGAATGTGGCATTCACTAGGCAGAAATATGGAAAAACAAAAGTAAAGAGAAATGTTCTGTGACTGAGCACTAAAATAAGAAAATGTGAAGATAAAGAATGGGAAAGAGAATTTTAAGATCCCTGGCAAGGAACTCTTCACAGTAGTATAGTTCTGCACAGGACATTTCAAGCTGAAATTTGAAATCACCTGAAAGTTACTTTGCTCCAGTGCTCTATTCCATTTAACTATGGGGAAAAAAAAAAAAAAAAAAAAAAAAAAAAGAGAGCCAGAGAGAGAAAAGAGGAGACACATAAGAGAAAGGAGACAATAGGAATAGGAAAAGTGTCTCTGAATCACAGGCTCCATCTGGGAACGGCTGGGCTAAGATTCAGAAAAACATGTAAACATGTGCTACAAAAAGCTGTGTGTGACATAACTCTTCACCAATCCCAGGAAATTTTTCAGTGAAAATAGAACGAACCATTTAATTTTTACCAAAATATTTCTTAGATATTTTAAAAAATCAAAACACAAAAAGCACAAATAGTTTTTGACAAATCTAAAAAGCTTCAACAGAATATTTAAAGCCATTTCTAACACCATTTTCAACTGAGGTTGTGTCCTGGTAGAGTTAAGTGTTCAAGTATCTTACTGAATCTGAAATATGAAGCATATGAATAGCTTTACTCGTATCTCAATGGAAATGCTCACTTGAGTAATGCAGCACATGTACTTAGAGTGTCTTCAGCTGAAAAGACTAAAAGTTAATCCTGAAACATTTGTAAGCAGCAACTTTTTCTCCCAAGTGCTGCTGTTGTAGTTGGTAGGTGCAAGAAGCATATTGATGTGCTTGTAGATGTGCAGACACAATCTCTTAAGAGCTGCCTAATTACCTCGATGTGTTTTGAAACATCATGTGCTCTCTGAGGCTAGCAGACAGTTAGTCCATTTATATCTCTCATCCATCCATGAAATATTTTGAGTCAAAAGTGCTACACACATCTCAGAGAGAAATCTGAGGAAGCTCTGTTTTCATTCCTGAGCAGACTTTGAGAAAAGGCAGGATCCTAATTGGAGGAAGTTTTTTTTTTTTAAAAAAAAAAAAAAGTTCTGTTGCCTTCATTTTCTCTAAGCTGATTTGCACCAGTAAGGATGGAGGCTCAGAGAACGTCTTTCAGGCATTCACACAGTTAACTTCTAGAAATGACAAATGTGAACTCCAAACCATCCTGTTTGGATTTCAGTGTATTTCAGGTCAGTCATCACAGAACAAGCAGTTCAGTGTCTAAAATAATCCAAAGCCCATCTGTAGACACACATACCATTCTAACCATCCTACTCATCTCTGTGTTCTGGAGCTGTGCTTATACAGTAGTTGATTGCTAAAATATGAATTGGCATAAGTCTCCTTTCTGAAGTATTAAAATTGGTGCAATTGGAATTGCTTTGAAAACATGTTCATATAAACTTTTCGTGCTTTTCACTTTGTTGAGAATATTTTTCCTGGCTGTTTTAGAGGAGCAACCTACCTTTTATTTACCCTTTTCCAGCTGCTGCTTTGCTTTGGACATCTTTTACCCTCAGTGCTTACTAACCTCTAATCCTGCCCTGCATTGCATCTGTCTGTTCTCCCAGATCCAGAATCTAAGGAAAGAGAAGTTACCCGTCGCTTTTCCCTAGCCTCCTCCATCAGCACCACAGTTAATGCTTCTGCTGTGACCAAAGGTATCGTCATGCTGCTTGCTTAGCTACCCTTCTCCCTTCCTGCAACATTTACTGCCAAATGCTGTTCACGGAGTGAGTACATCAGGCTCAGTTTTTATAAATGCAGGAGGCTCCAATAGAAGAGTTAGGACTAGTATAACCCCTGCAGGGAGGCAGGCAAAGACATTTTGAATGTATAGCAAGGTGTGCTGCCAGCGTATATAATGACTCTTCTCAGTTTCTCCATAACAGGCTTCAAAGGGTGGTGCTGGTTTCCATAGAAACTGGATTAATTTTTGGCTAATTTGGGGTTAGGTTTCCCACTTCTCCCTGGTTTGGATTAACTGAAATTCAATAGAAATTATTTCTCTATTTCCTTAAAGCCATTTAAGATTTTTTCCTTTCAAGAATGAGAGGATCTCCTCATTGTGTAGCAGACATCAGATAGTAAGAAAGCCTGAAATCAAGCCAAAATGGAGTAGCAATAGATGCCAGTTTTAAGAATATTTAGCATAATCACAGTTTTGATTAGAAATTATGATTACAAGGAAATTTTCAGTGCAAGGGAGCTAGGTGCTCAGAATGCACTGAACTCTATGCAGTTCGTGTGGGAACTTATGCAAATTTTATTTTTGACCTGTAATTATTTTGAGAAAAGGCACTTTTACAAAATTTACTTTAAGTTATTGCGCTAGTGCCTACATTTAAACTCAAAAGCAACCCACTCATTTGGGCAAGCTGGTTGTGTTGGAAATCAGTAGGACTGTAGTCACCTCTGACTACATGTCAGTGTTACTTTTGAAAACAGAACATATGGTCTTAAATCGAATTCTGAATATATTGTCTTTTGGCAGTTCCTGGCATGAAGTGGAGGAACTGATTTGCAAGGTTAACGGGGCAATTCACAAACCAAAATAGAAGGAAAAATGGCTGAATCCATTTGTATAAAAATCTTTGCTATGTATTTGTCAGGAAGAAGGTTGCATAGTGCATTCTAAATAGTTGTGAAGGACATGAACCATATCCTTGACTGCGCAGTGAAGCAATAGGTATCTGAAACTACCTACTTCCAGGGTGTCGTGAAATGAGAGCACGGTGCTGTTTATTGGCAGAGGAAGGATGTGATAGTGCTGCTGCCTACAATGTTTCTTTGCCACGCTCTTTAGGCCGTAACCCTACAACATCACTACAAGGAAATGATCAGCATAGCACAGGAGAAGAGGTTCTTACAGCTTTCTGTCCTTGGTGACAGCCTCAGAAATACACCATCAGTTACTTGGTTATGGGAAGACTGAGTTATTTCCCAATATTTATTTCCTAAGCTGGGGAACAGAAAGAAGCACGTATGTAGAAAGAGAATGGACAGCTAAGGGTTGTTCTTTAGTGTGGTTTATCGAAGAGAGCATTTGTGAATTACAATGTAATTCAAACTTTGTTATGATTTCATATGAAAAAATCCTGTCCATCACAAGACCGTTGGCAATTTTTTTGAATGCTGAGAAAACTACTTTTGTAATGATTTTAAAAGCTAGAAAACAAAATCAGTGTTTTTCAGTTAAGTGTTTTATTTACAGCATCTGCTTTAAGAGAATATTTCAGATGACAAAAGAACCAAAGCCTGAGTCTTGTCTCAGCATTAGCCAAATGCAGGTCTAGCCAGGGTGTTTGGATGATCTCATTCAAGGCTACTGCATACTGCTGTGTGCTGATCCTCACTGGAGAAGCACTGTACGTGGACCTGTGACAGATGGCCCTCCACTTCTGTGGGGCAGAAGTTCGGCTTTTGTGGGCTCTTCCCTGCCAGCCTCACAGGTAGAAAGCAGAGGCTGAGTCCGCCTGCCTCAGGACAATCTCCTGGACAAGGGTGAGAGAAAACATCTGTGAAATTTGACTGGAAGCAGATACATTTACTATGTCTTAATATCTTTTGCAAAAAGCGGTCTGTCCCCTATCCACATTACAGAAATGTTTATCTGCACAACCTAGAATTTAGGGGTTGGTCTTTTTTTTGGGTGAAATGGAAAGTATTAGGCAGGTAGTGTTTCCAGGTAATAGGAAAGTAAGTTTGTCCTTTAACAGTATTTACAGCCTTGTGACTCTGCAAACTTCACACAGGTCCCCTTGTTCCTGCAGTTAAAGTCAAGAGACATGAGATAAAGAGTGACCCAACTCCCCTGGGGTTTGAAGGTATGAGTATTTCCATCCTGCATGAAAACCTATTTGGCAATCTTTTGGTATTCCACTGAATTCACGTCTCATCCCTGCTGGTAGACGATACTGGAATCCATTAGGGGTTTGGTGTCGGTATATCTGTTTAACTGCGACAAACACAGCTGTCACCCCCTTGCCTGTCCCCTGCACTCATGCTATGTTTGTCAACTTTCACCTAGGGATAGTCTTAAACCAAAACCCCAATTCTCTGCCTGTTTTGGGAAGTAATGCTCTAGATTTTGATCTGGATGTGTTTTTCTGCTTGGCTTCTACCTTACTCTGTAGAGTGCTGCAGCAGGGAGCCAAGGGGCTAACTTCCACCTTCACCTGTAGCCTGGCCACTTACATCTTTCTTCCCTTGTTAGTGTCTATACCTAGCAAGAGGAGCAGGAGCAATGTGCATGAAGGCTACAGAAGAGGGTAGATTGTGCATTAATATCCATTTAAGGTGCAGTGTTTCATTTCAGCTGAGCAGAATTTCCACCTGTTTGTTGCAGCAGATTCATCAATTACTGTTTAATAAACAATACCAAAGAGTTAAACTAGGAAGTTATTCCCCAGTCACTAGAAGATCACCAGCTTCCACTGTCAGCTTTTCCCTTTACTGATCTGGCAGAGCATGTTGCCTTGTGGGGCACAAGCAGTCAGGTACCCCTGCTGCAGGACAGGGAGGAGAGAGATGTAAGCTGAGGAATCCTTTCTTACGATTGTGTTGCTCTGTACAAAACCTTGGTAGAAAGGGCAGGTGGCTAGATCACTGATGGAATTGGTGACATATGGAAGCTAACTCCTATGTCACTCCCAGCAGAAGAGGACACTGGAACAGAGAGGTTGGAAGAAGCAGTTCAGAGGCAGCAGAGGAAGTAGTGGTTTTGCTGTTTGCAGAATATTTCCTCTTGCCAGTGATCCCTCGCACTAAGTTTGGAATCATCCTGGCACCCAGCACCAGAGTTTCCCAAACTGTGGTGTTTATACCTCCCTTTCCTCAATGACAGATACTTCTGATCTCACCATACCATGCCATGTGGCTGCAGAGGTAGTGGGTATTTCAAAGTGCCGGTACTACCCGTAGAATAGAGCTGAGGTGATCCTCGCTGGTTAAAAACGTGGTCCTACTGCACAACATTCCTCACCAGACTGAGTTTCTTTAAGTAGGAAACAATGAACGTTATCATCCCTTTACCAGAAGATATTGCTGCTATTTCCAGAGGTCTGACAGAGTTAATAACACAAAGGATTTGATGTACTTAGATAAAAGCTTCCCTCATAAAATTGCATTAATCAAGAGTGAAATCATTCATCTATGGCTGGGAAGAAGAGCCTCCCTGGTTCCTTTCGTTGCTCTATGGATGGCTATTAAAACCATATACCATCACCTACAGAATGACTTGAAATGCTGCAGTGAGAATATGTTAAAAATGTGTAAGGAAGCTGTAGTGAAATAGAACACTGCACTGTTCATCCCGCAATTGTTTTCCTTAATTAACATCAATATCTATGTTTTATTCATTTGGCTATTCTCTGTTCTTCTCAGACTTTTCTGTGCAATGCTGCTGTCTTTTCACTCATTTGTTTTGGTCACATGTCTCCTTTTTTATAACTGTTGGACCCTAGTCCACCTGTTTGTTAAAAAGACTACCAGTTGCAGAGGTGATACAAGAATTCACTTTGTACTGGTTGTCTGTTCACTGCTTCACCTTGAAGACAAAAAATTGTCCTTCCTGTCACAGATGCTTTTGAGAACACCATATTGGCCCAGACTAAATGTAATACCAGTTCCATCACGAGACCTGTACCTAGATCTGCTTCACAGACAGGTAAAGAAAATGAAAACATTTATAATCTCAATTTGAGAGTGTAATATAAATTTATGATAATATTTAGTCTCTTAAAGAGATTTTTCTCTTTTAATGAACATTATTTTCCAAAGAAAGCACTGAAAGAACAAGCTCAGATCACTAGTGAGTATAGAAACGACGTCTCAGATTCTGGTTTTCTGTAGGTCAGGCACAGCTGAAAATAATTCTCTTAACTGATGTCAGAGAATTTGGCCTGTGTTATTTTGTAACTTGAATGAAGTAAGTAAAATGCGGGCTATTTCTTAGCCTCTGAAATTAGAATAACAACTTGTATGGAAGAGGAAGGCTGATGCATGTATTTATAAGGAATCCTTGCTATTTAAGCTTCTGCCTTGGATGCTTTCTACAAATGGCAGTGGTAAAAAATCATTGAAGCTTTGTCTAAGTGTGAAGGGGAATACTTTTTTCTTTTGGTGTTTGTAGCCCAACCTGTGAATTTGAACTAATATTGCTATCGCAGTTTAAAGATAGTTAGCACCAATGTATTCTTGTACATTTAGATAATTGCTACTATTTTGCTGGTGTGATTCAACTGGTACAGAATATGAGGTCCAGTTCTATATGCTGCATGGTCTGTAATTGAAATTGTCTCTTCTGTCTCAAAACGCTGTTGGTATAGCCCTTGGCAGGGACACTCACAACCCAGCACATGAATGGCATTTCAGTGGCTAGTTTACACCCTGAAAAGTCTGGATGACCTAACCATACCTGCGGAGTTATAACCGGGGATGCTGCTGCGGTGGAAGGACGTCACTGTGTCTCTTGTAACTGAATTGCAGTGGTCAGGGCAGTGACAGCCCTTGTGTAACAGGAGGGAGAAGAGGCTGCAGAGCTGCATGACCACATCGCACCAACCAGTGCCTGTAGCAGGGAGGATGTGCATGGGGAGGGATTAAATTAATAAACCTATTTCTCCCAGATCAGATTGCTTTTCTATTTACTTCTCAAACTGCCTGACTTGGGTTTTGTATTGTTGCAGGCCAGGTTTTGTTTTTGTTGTGAGTGCTGAGTTACGCGTAATCCCACTGTAAGAGCATCTGGCTCTGTGCCTTGTTAGAGCACTGCCTTGCCTTGTGGAGAGCAATGGCCCACAGGCTGTAAAGAGCCCGAGTCCCTGTGAATCAGCTAATGCACAGCAGGTACATTTAAGTAGGAAGGCATGAGGTGATGTGACTCACTCCATTCAGCTTGTATCTGCATGGGCTGCAAGATCCCTTGGTAGATGCAAGGCATATTTCCCCCTAGCTGGATTCTACTCATCCCTAGCAGAAAAGGGGCAGGGAGCAAGTGCAAAGGAAAGCGTAGAACAGATTGCCCTCTGTGCAGGAGAGTTACCTTTCCATCATGGGAGCCTCAGGCAGGCAGATTTTATAAGGCTCAGCCTGAATTTCCCTCAGGAGACATCCTCTGGGCATGCCTTTGTAGGTAAAGAGATTGACTGTTGTGCTTGGATTGGAAATATCTCATTAGGTGTCTTCTACTGGGCTGGGGTGGTTTTGGGTGCAAACCATGCAATAAGACTGCTAACAGC